GACCCTGCCTCCATGACCTGCCTTTTTTATTGGAGACACACCAATGGAGGAGGGTCCAGGTTTCGATTGGAGGCAGCTAATTGCAGTATTTCAGATCGCTGAAGAAGGTGCTAAGCACCGAAATATCCGAAGGAAGGAATAAAAATAATAAAATTTTTCGCGAAAACTTTTGGATTCTTTCGGATCTTTGGAGTTTTGCAATGAATTTTTGTTGTCTCTTCCATGTGCCTTACAATTCCACTGACTGCTGGTTTAGGTGGGCTATCAAGGGAGATCGAAGGTGTCCGAAACGGTATTTCCGATTTTGTAGGGACGTATACAAGGATCAAAAAGGTGACCTCCATGCCAGCTTCGCGCCTCCACGGATTTCAGCAGAAAGAGGAAATTTTCTATGGTGGATGGTTTTGTTTATCATACAACATATTGCACAGCTTGTCGCTCATAGGTTAGAATACCCATAGTTTGATAGGTGGTGGTTATCCAAACATAAGTGAATTACAGTGGATTTGTGTATAAACTGAGCACTTTCTGCGGCATTTATTGAAGTGGCCATAGAATCTTCATCAGTAGTAAACTTACCGCTCAGGGAGTGCAGGGGTTAGGTCGGTCTTGTGGCTAGTGCGACGGTCTCCGTCGGTAATGCAAAAGTTGTTCACGATTCAGCTCTCTTGGCGACTTTTACCTTGCGGCTCTGTCATCTGGTATTCCGTTTTCTGGATTATCTGCGAAATAAATTGCACGGGTTATACGCCCTATCCTAAGGCGCATGACCTGAGCGATTCCCTGTCCTAATCCTGCATACATTAATGCGCATGAGCTACCACGGCACTACCCTAATCTTCCAAATTAAGCTCAGTTTTTCATTCAAGTTTTTCTGCGGCGGTGGATTTGGCTGGAAACTTGTAACGAGGGGGTCGTTTGAACTCCTGCACGGATATCACAACTCAGCCAGCAAACGCCTAATGGCCGCGCCACAGGTGCCCACACCAAAATACCTCAAATTACCAAACTCACTGAAAGCTTGTCTACAGAGACAGTTTGACATCGTGAACACGAATACCACATCTGCATGGGGTTTTACCAAAGCCAGAGATGAAGAAAAGGAGAAAGCCTGGTGCGCTTGTCGGCACCTTCCCCGAGATAGTGATCCTTTCTCTGTTAAAGCAAAGCTGAAAAAGGGTGAGCTCGCCCTTGGCAAATGGAAGGATCTCTCTCGCAGGCAATTAGAAAGGGTACTGTCCTGTCTAGTCCTGTTCTCTGACTGCCCTAGCCCCTACGCGCGCAGAGATCAAAACAAGCAGATGGTGTCGTCGCCTATAGAGGGAGCCGCCCGCAATTTTGTGTGCCAAACGAATGCGATGTTCGTGTTCAGGAGGTCAGACTATCCCTGTGGGCAGATTTTCCGCGAGTTTGGAAATTAAGGGTACCTTGAGGGCCGGTGTCTTGCGCGAGCGCCAGGCTTTTGGGGCCAAGCGAGTATGATCTTCGTGTTCAGGAGGGCGAGCTCAAGCTACTTTTGAGACAAGTTTTCAGGAAACTTTGGTGATGCAGTGTTTTGACGCTGCACCAGTGGCGCGGACACCGAAACACCGTATGTACAGTCCTCATCATTACGTACTGTCGGGGCGGCACAGCCGCGCTGCACTGTGACGCGACAGCGGCTGCGGCTCGGTGACGGTGAATCAGCTGATTTCGATGGAATTCGGCTGCAAATTCCCACTCAACTCTTGAAGCTTCGAAAGTGGAAGGTGAGTTATTTTGAACAATTTTAAATTGTACTGACTCTGAATGAATCTGAAAGAATGTAAGCCATTTGAATAAATGCCTGAAATAAGGCAAAATACAAGGAAAAGAGCATAATAATCGACATAAAAATAAAGGAAATCAGAGCCAGTACAATTCAAAATTGTTCAGAATAACTCACCTTCCACTTTAGAAGCTTGAAGAGCTGAAAAAGTGGGAATTTGCAGCCGAATTCCATCGAAATCAGCTGATTCACCGTCACCGAGCCGCAGCCGCTGTCGCGTCACAGTGCAGCGCGGCTGTGCCGCCCCGACAGTACGTAATGATGAGGGCTGTATAAGGCCCCGGTGGGAATGTTGCGTCACCTCGCTTGCAACACCGGTAAGCCCAACCCGTAGCAGTTGGGAAGAAATGCTACAACCCCAGCAGCCTGATCATAAGCATTAATGTATGAGGGATACGCTCAAATAGCACGTATCCTGAGTTTAGTCCTTTGGCAGGTGCTTAGGATCGCAAGAAAACTCAATTTGAGCTGATACAATATACTGCCCACCAAGAGGAGCCGAGCCATAGGCTCTACCCCGGGTTGCCATACCAATCACCAGATCATCCAACTACTTACAATGCCTCCATGAGGCTATAGTAGATGAAGCTCCAATGGCCACTCCATTGTATGTCATGGAAAGTGTTTCGATCTTGGAAGCAATCTACAAAAATGTCCATTTAATCATTACCTTTCAAACTAGGTGTATTAAAGACAATTCCCGCGATCAAGTGTTATGGGTAGTAGGGCTTAATCATGAACCAATAGCCCATAAGTAACTCTCCATAGAGAAAGAAGCGAAAAATACCCTGAACACTCTGAACAGAGACCCCTTAGCAGTTTGCGCCTTGGACGAGTTTGTCGGACGTCGCAAGCCCAATCAGCAGGATTCGACGTGCAACCATTCCCGGCAAGAGCACAGGAAATCACCCTACGACGCTCCAGGCAACGCTATGTACACGCAATCCGCTTGTAAGCCGTTGTCTTGCAGAGTGAAAGTAATCGTGGTTGCAATGGTTGCAATAATCACGCGTCTCTAGCTTCTTTATCTCGCCGTTTCGAGCGACGGAAGTGGTACACTCTTCGCGACAACGATGCCAAATGCAGGCATTTCGTGATCGCGGGAACTGTCTTTAAGTGTTGGCTGGGCAGTGAGTGACTCAGCGCGCCTTTCCTTGGGAATTTCTTTTCACTCTTTTTTCGGCATTCCTGGAAACGCAGCATGAATGGAATTTACCTCTTTGGTCATTGGATGAGCCTCCACAAAATCCAAAAAAGCGTTTTGAAAAGATGCACGACATCAAAAAAAACTTAATGGAATCCATACAAGGCCTCCAGTTAGTGAACTTGGTACGTCCTATTGCAGTCCGCTACACTACCCGCCGCGTCCATCTGGATGTTGACACAATAATTTCAAGGAACTGGTAGCAGTACCCCAGTAATAGAATCCTGCGAACCATTTCAAGAAGAACTTCCCTCTGTAACATGTGCAGTATTTCAAAATGATGAGTATCTGTGTCAGTAGCTTGCCATTAGCCCTTTCTATGTATTGGTCCCTTTGCTGGTATTTTAGGAGCTCATTCAATGCCATTCTCACATTTTCTTTGTTACCTCGGCCATATTCATAGCCTGTTGCAGAAACAGGTGGTAGGAACCTGATGACGAATCCGAGCAAAGAGTTTAACTGTTGGAAAAATTGCAATGTGAGAATCAGGTTCCGGCACAAACAGTCACACTGGATTGTTATCGGTACAATGCGACGTTGACAAACGCTTTCTTCAATGTTTCTCTGAAAAATGGTGTTTACCTTTGTTGTCAACTTCCTAATTGAATTTTAACGTGTGAAAAGCCACGATGTCTAATGAGCGTAAAACAGAAGTGTCGAATGACCTTCCACGAAGGCTGATCGTTCTCTCGCGGGTTTTTTCCCTCCAGATCGTTGACGATTGTCGATTGAAGGCCGTACACTTGAGACGGATAGACGTTTCAGTACCTTTCCTCTGGAATTAAAAACCCCACGTTCTCTATTGTAGACATTCCAGATACTGAATTTCCTCAAAATTCTCTCTCCTCTCGCATACATATTTTTGATGAGCACTTTTCGACGCACTCTAGGACCTGAAAGGACTGGCTGTTCGCTACAACTGCTGCATAGCGCTCTTGAAGAAGTTCCCGCGATCAGCTGATCAGCGAAATGCCTCCGTGCTCCTAACATCTGGGTCCGACTCGCATAGCGTGTACCGCCTTCACCTCTTGAGAGGGCGAGATCAAGCGGCTACAGACGCGTAACTATTGCAAACTTCAGGGTTTCATTTCTAGGGTAATCTCACAAGCAGTAACTGACCGAACCAGGTAAGAGTGTTAGCTGAGTTGACTTCTCCTTCCCTTTTGCATCCTCATCCAGCTTCCGTGCTTCCCTATATCTAAGTAATGGAGCGTGGGGTTTCCTCCGCCCGTGTCCCTAATGTTGGTTCTTTACCGCTTCTTGTTGTGCATCACCAACTCTCGGAAACCTTCACCACTCTTTTCCACCTGGTCGCCACTTTGTTTTTCGGAATCTTTTTACTCACCTGTTTTCCATTTCTGCTAATCTCCTTCAGTTGGCGCATAAATACACTCCTTCTCCCTGACGGGGGTGGCATTTGAACATGGCATAGAATGGGTTACTCGTGGGGTATTTCAGTGTGTTTACGACTTCTGTCGTCTTATTTTAAGTTAGACAGAGACACGATCGCAATTGTGTCAAAATGGAAATATCTCATTGAAAGCACTGCCGCTGCCAAGTTTAGTTGAAGTACGCACCGACGCCTATCTCACCTTAGGGATATTGAGTGACGTGTTCAGACTTCGCGATTGCGCGATTGGATCGCGCGACCCATCAAGTGATCGCTACCGTGGGCGCTCCACTGTCAATTGGTGAGGAGCCTTACCAAGTCGAATTCAATTGGACCGCGTTTAAGCACTGCTCAGTTTTTTAGATTCTTCTGTGCAGGCATACCTTGTGTTTTACGAAAATGTTCTAGGAAGTGTGTTATTTCTCAAAGTGTTGTGTTTTGCTATATTTCTCTTCCGATCGTATGATTTCATAATCTTTATGGCGGTTCACCGATTGGCGGTGGAGCGCCGCGGTCAGGATCGCTCGACTGGAACGCGCGATCGCGAAGTATGAACGCGCTCAAAAAAGTGCATTATTGTGCATATGATTGTTTTTCAGATAGCCACAACATGAAATGCCGTTTGATAATAAGTTTCTTACTGACAGCATGCACAAATAGTTTGCGATATACTCATTCGGTGAATCCTGGAAACGTTGTCAATATCGATGTGTTCGGCGAATCTCGGTGTATTCATACAACAATGTGAGTAATATCATACAGTAATCCATTGCAACATGCCACCGTACTTTCAAACGTCAACCATTTGTTCACATTACTTTACAGTGATCAAACTTGAATGATCAATGGTCAGAGGTTTTTTTGGTGGCATGGGACAAGTTGTGGCATGAGACAAACATCTTCATGTGAAGATCACTCTCTAAAAACTCATATTTCGTAATGTTTTGAACAGGTTTCCAAGAGAGAAAATGTGAGACATGTTCATGTCAACGAAAATAATTTTGGGAACCTATAGAGCTCCAGTTGGATGCGCCACGCATTCTACACACGGGCTGCTTGCAGAGATTTCGGAAGGGTTTCCGGTCTCTGAAGAACCACATCTAGAGTAAAGGGTAGCTATGGGATGAGTGGGATATGAGCCAATCTTTTCGGAGCCACACACAAGCAAACCTAAAAGAGCATCCATACTTCGCGACCCGGATCGCGCGATCGGATCGCGAAGTACAAACGCGCTCTAACTCCCGCTCAGGGTGAGGCTGCTGAATTCACTTTGTGGAGGCGTATGTGACCGGCACTCTCTTTAGTGCTCCGTGAACCGCCGTGAAGTGCTGCATTGCCGTCGAAATGGGAATTCAATGGCAAAATAATGAAGAATGAAAAAGCAAGGGCAAAATAATGAAAATGAAAGGAAGTTGCAGCATAGCTTAGAGCTCTACTCTTGCCTAAACTCGACAAGAAACCTGTCTGCTAGCTCCAAAGTTGTTTGGACCATATTACTTTTACACTTTATAGATTCATGATTAATGAATGTGACTGCGATCCTGAAAGAAAGATGATTGAGTAGCGCATCACATAGAGCGTTTATTAGCGCCTCTGTGCTCCTGTTTCCAGGCCCTCCAAATGGAAGAAGGTGTACTACGCTTCCAGGTTTCTAGATGGGAATGTAGGCAATGTAATGGGGGGGACCACATTGGCGCAGCTGGAGTAAACTCTCGAACTAAAATCCGCGACGGCGATCTTTTGATATAGTAATTTGTAATCAGATTCCAAAGCTCCAGAAACCTAAAAAAGTGGAAATAATGAGCAGGGCACGGTTAGCGTGTGATGTGAGAGAGGGATATCCACAGTGGGCGGAGTGTGCGCGCTAGGTGAGATGAGCGGAGAGCTTCACGTAAGTAAATGCAAGAAGGTGCAGGAGCAGGCAATTTTGCATTTCACATCGAATTCGTTCCCTCTGTGCTATTTGTTCAAATGTCTTCCGAGCGGTGCCCCTGTATTGCCGTGCCTTTTACCGACAATATTTTCTCTGGTGCGTACTGCTAGCGTTCTTCCAGCCTTCCCTATGTAGGTTGAATGACATGCCCGTCACTGAACATCGTGGATCACCCCTTTTTGAGCGCTATCTTCGCCTAAACTATGCGGATGTATGACCTAGCGGTCCAAGTGCATTGCCTGTCGCCGAGTCTGTTTCACACGAGTCGTCCACGGTTTCCAAATAGAGCATAGCCATTTGGAGCAGCTAAAAGCATAGATTCTAGATTCTTGCCGCTCTCCTGTACTTGTGTACACGCTCACAGCCGTCCTGAACAACTACTGATGGCAATAGTGGCATGAACGAAGAAGTCTGAGCTCTCTTTTTGGTACTGTTTACACTGAGCCTCAGGCAGCGTTCATAGTTCGCGACAGCAGCGGCGATCGCCGCGATCGTCGGTGCATGGCAGCGCGCGCCCCAACGCTATTACTTGCGCTCCGAAGGCTTCTGGGGGTAAGCGGCTCAATTTTATGCTTTTTTTCCTTTAACTGCAATTTCCTTAGGTACTGAAGCTTGGTTTGACACAAGGGAAGGTGAGCCCAGCTTAATCGCTTTTGTTTTCTATTTTCTTTCTTATTTAGGATAGAAATGAGCAAAAAGCGCGAGAGCTTCACTTGAGGTACGTTTTTATTGCTTCTTTTTTCATTCGTCGAGGTTGTACATGAGGTTTATGAAGTTTTCACCTGTTGATGTTCGCGTAAAATGATTAGTGTTTTGGTTCCTAGGTGAGTTTCTTTCTGTTTCTTTTTTTTCTTCGTTGTTTGAACTCGACTTGTAAACTATGAATGTTTTGGAAGTTGGAACAGCGAATTCCTGAGGCGCATGCATAAGTTGAAACAATAAAAACAAAAAAAGAAGCTCACCCAGGAAATGGAGTTGGTCTTACCCCGACCTAAAAGGAAGTGAAACCTTCTTACCTCATATTCCAGATCTGCTTATGTGTAGAAAGTCGTAGCTTATCTGTTAGTAGCCCTTATTAAGAGTAAAGAAGGTCTTACAAGTTGAATTCCCTTATTCATCAGGCGAGCATCCACAATAGCGTTGGGGCGCGCGCTGCCATGCACCGACGATCGCGGCGATCGCCGCTGCTGTCGCGAACTATGAACGCTGCCTTAGCTGTGGTACACGATGTCGTTACTAATAAGCAGTGAGGAATGAGTTCTGTTGGAATCATTGAGATCGTTATACTTGAGTCATATCGATCGCATTGTTGTTGTGAGCGGTGAAGCGGATTTTCCCATGCTACCTTGTCATTTTAGCTCCTATCACTTCCGTACCCGCAATAATATTCCCGTCCCGTATCACTATCATATCACCCTATATCACCTCTCGGATCCAAGGTCCCACTGTTGCTGTAACCTGTGTTACGAACTTGATGACCCTTCCCTTCCGAGGCCCCTTATCGGATCTTATCAACTGTTATCACTTTCTGTCACCCGCCATAATGTTCCCGTCC